TCCTTCTGACAGATTCACGTGGAGATGCGTGTTTGTCTGGATTTGAGAGGTGAGGAAAAAGAGCAGAGATGAATTATAAAGATTAGGGATATATATATATATATATTAGACACACGTTTTCAATGATGAATCAACAAAAATATAGACGGAAAAAGTCAGGAAAGGGATTGAAGAGTGATGGATTTGAAAGGGCAGTGGGCGTTTAAGTAGGCCTGTCCGAAAACAGTGGGGACTGGAGAGACGGCGAGGAGAGGATGAAGGGGAAAATGTCAGAAGTAGGGTCATCTGTGAGGATGATGAGCTCCTTGTTTTGGAAACTTGAGCAAACCCACTGAACACACACACACCTACACACACTAACATATGGACTTCTATTATTTTTTCATTTATTTCTATGCTCTAACCAGAAGCCTTGAACTTATTTTACACCTCAGTCCTTAGGAACCAAAAACACACGAGGAGAATCAGATCCTCCTGACTAAATGTTACAGCACACACACCTGCACACCCATTCTGTGGTGGTGTGAGAAAGAAAGCCTGCAGGTTTTAGGTTTCTGTGAAGGTTGTGGTTTTAGTGTTTATGTCAGCACAATATAGGACTGATGAATTGTGCCTCCACAGGTTACTGTCACATGAAATGAAAGCTTGTTGTTCAGTCCTGTGTGCTGTTTAGACACCAGGCCCCATACACAACACAGCCAGATACAGCCAGCTGTTGGTGCTTACAGGCAGACGCAGCGAGCTTAGAGGTCATTGAGGCTTGGAGTGAATCCAGCCATCGATTTCCTGAGATCATCTAGAGCTGCTACTGTATCACGTTTATTATGGTTCTGTTAACTTCTTTAATTCGAACCCCCACAGTATAGTTTTCCTGCCTGAGAAGGAAGTCATTTTAACCTTGTCCCGCATGTGAGGGCTGGAGTTTTAATGCTGAATTTTTGATAAAGACTTCCTGATCAGGCTTTGATCAATGATTGAATACGTTAGATCAGGGGAAACCAATTAAAAATCAGTGGGGTCTGAATAAAGAAAATTAACAACCAGCAAAGGTCCGGAGACATTTTTAATTATAATCTGTTTCTTTAAACAGAATTTACCCCTGAAATGAAATGAGGTGTTTATGCATTTATGTTATACATTGAATTTTTAAATAAAATATATAAAAAATAGAACTTTTTTCCATTTAAAAATCTAAATTGTTTTTGAAGTAGAGAACAACAATCGTTTAGTTTGGTATATAGACAATTTGCTGATTCACATATTTTATAAAACACCTAAACTGACTGTTATTTTTTTCTTTTTTCTGTCGTAATGAGAGCACTGGGCTTTATGCTGGTTTGAATGGAGACAAAGCCATTCTAAAGCACATTTCAAGGTGCTCATTTTGAGCCTGGATCCATATTTATTTTTGATTCTGTTCATGGTGGAGAATCCTGCTTCACAGCAGCAGGTTGAGCCAAACATCCTCTAAATGTGCAGGGTCATCTTAGAGCACCATTTCACTTTTCTTTCACCAGTTCACCACAGTTCTTCCAGCAGTCCACACTTTCTCTGCTCTCTTCATCATCTTCTCCTTCTTTCCCATTGTCCAGCTTGCCACAGGTTTGCCTGCTGTGTCTAAATTAGCTAGCAGCAGCAACCCAGACTGACAGCAGCTCATTAGCTGATTGGCGTCACGTGCAGCCTAGTACAACATGCAGTAATTTATAAATGTTTTAAATCAGGTTTGGTCCGGATCCGGACCGCGGTCCACTAATCCGTTCGCATTAGAGTTAAAAAAAAACATCCGCCAATGGAAACAACTAAAGCATAAAAGTTCAAGTGATTTCACTGTCTATGAAAATACGCTCAAAAGGTATTGGACCGACAAAAATGCACTGTTTTAACATTTTACATAAAATGTTCTACATTTAAAATGGTTCTAAAATCATCTAATTTCTCTTAATAATATAAAAATCTTTTTTATTATAAGTCAGCAGAATGCCTTCTTTCTCAGTTCTCTCAATCACATAAAGGCTTGAGAGACTCTCGAATTGGGAGAGTCAGGCACACCAGAAGGTGTTTTCTGTCAAACTCCCCGCAGTGTCTGGTTGGTGCTCAGACTTCCAGTTTGACCCTCTTCTATTCAGAAACATTGCTACTTTTTATGCAACGTTCTGCAGTTGGACTCTAGTGCACACTTCAACATATCGTACAGGTGTTAAAGGTGATGATTAAGTGCGGGCATACACTGTACTGTCATCAGAATTGGAAACTTAAGCGTGGGTTTTACCTCTGTTTTCAAAAGAAAATACAGGATAAATCCACATATGACGAACATATTTAGACTATATTTTTTTAAATGGGCACATATTGACCTTCTGTCTTGGTTGTAAGTTTAAATGCAAACCTTTTCAAAGGGGAAAAAAGTCCTAATTCCACATTCATTAGAGCTGGTGATGCTTCAAGCATTGATAAACAGCATCTAGTGTGTGTAGTGCTGATAAAATTAGTATAAACATAGCAAGAAATGCTTATTTTCTCTTTAAACCAAATGTGCCCTGATGCTCATGTCAAGCATAAAAAAAGAGCATGCATGTTTTTCTAAAAGACCAGTGACATCAGACCAGTTGTGTCCCTAGTATTTTAGAGTATTATTTAGATCTTGTGTTCTTTGTGTAAGGTAGAACTGTTCGATAACATTTAAATAGCATAATAATATCATTGTTTTTGGAGGATTTTGGAGTTAATAAAGTCACGTGTGACATAAACACAGTGACTCAAGTTCATACCTGCTGAACTAATCTATGTTGTTATAGTGTTATTGTGAAGTTTAATTAATGGTGCATATATTCACCTGAGAACTGATGATGTCGTCTGTGTTACAGACCCTGGCTGCGTGCACTGAAGTGTATTTGACAATAAAGTAGTGAATCTCAATCTATTTACTTATTTATTTGTATTTTAAATAGGTCTCTAGGCTCATAGGTCTTTTGTCCAAAAAAACAAACATAAAAATGTTCACAGCACCCCCTGTTCAAACTACTTCCAGTGGCCGTGGTTATCACTGACATTTTCCCACCACTGTTTATTTATTGTTTCTCTATGTATGCTTACGTTTCTAAGAAAACCCGCTGGTTTAAATGGTGGTGGAAGGAAAAGTGTTTGCAATGGGGGCCTGAATGAAATGAGTTTCTTTAATATATTCCGGTTGTGTTTCAATCTTCCTCTCTGTCTTATTCACTACCATTTACTTCACTTTACGTCGATCGCAAACCTTTCAGTGGGCTGTTTCTCAGGTTTTAATGCGCAATGAAAACACTATAATCTGATAGTTTTTAGTGCGGTACAGAATGTTGTTTTTCCTGTTAGCACCGAATATAAATTCAAATAGAGCTGAAACAATTAATCGGATTAATCGTGATGAATCGATTATTGAAATAATCGGCAACTAATGTAGTAATCGGTTTATCAATAACTGGAGCTTAGAGACTGTAAAATATGCTTTTAGCTGTCAGAACAACCCACTTAGCAGGGGCGGAAGCAGGAATTTGGGGCCTCATAAAAAGGCATTGATATTGGGGCCCCACCCAAAAAATATATGTAAGCCTTTAAACTGCTATAAAGATGTATTAATTTGTTTAATTCATTGTCGGTATATAAAATGACACACACGTGGTCGCGGTATAAGCAAACTGCCAGGGACAGACGGGGAGACCTAATGCGATGCAGGATGGGTGTTTTGGTCAATATGTTCATGCTTTGTTTCGCTGGTTTTTGCTTAAAAAGAGGGAAAACACAAAATTATTTATTTTGCCGCTCAATTTTCTTTTTATTTTGGAAAAATATAGTGGGAAAAATCTTTTCTTCTTCTTTTGGGGCCCCCCTCAGGCAAGAGCCCTTAGAATATTCCTAAATTTCCCCTCCATGTGGCACCCCTGCCAGTTAGAGCTCTAATTATATCAAAACTGTTAAAAAAAAATACATATATGAATATTTTGCATTCAAGATAAAAAATAAATGTTTTTGCTGGTCAGTATGCTCTATCCAGAACCCCTCAAGTGGAAAAGTTTTAGTTTCACCAGGCTTAATTTAATTAAAAACCTTGTTAAAACGACCTTTGGCTCTCTGATTATTAATCGATTTAATGGAAAAAATAATCAACAGATTAATCGATTTATAAAATAATTGTTAGCTGCAGCCCTACATTCAAATATTCGATAATGCTTAATTGGGAAGGCTACTCTTCCTCATAATGAGTAACGGTGTCGATAAAGTTTGGCCCCCCTGACACCAGGTTTAGCGTTTCTAGTTTAGCTTTCCTTTACAAGCTGCAGCAGAGCTTCAGACTAGCTGTGTGGGTTATATGATGACCTTGGTTTCTCTACTGTTGGGCACAAAAGCACGTTTGTCCTGCTTTGCTCCCTTAGCTGCTGTTAAACACTGAGTTCTTTGTAGTCTCTCCAGTGCTTCTGACTTTCTGAAACACTTACTGATCACTCGACTATCAACCCTTCAACCAAGAGGGGACAAAAGAGACTGACTGTCCTGTTCTCTCAGTCCTGACTCAGCGTCTGCTTCATCACACCCTCTTCATTACAAATGACCTCCTCCCAGCAGCAACTGTGGCTCCATCTACTGCGTGTTTGCGGTTTTAACAGGACCGACTGGAAGCATCAGTGACATTATCCGAAGAAGAAAATCTTTGTATCAGTTTTTTATTGAAACTTGTAATAAAAAAAAAATTAAGAAACGTTTTTTTTGTTTTGTTTTGTTTTTCTAAATAAAATGACAAAAAACATTATACATGGAAATAACGGATGAAATCGGAATAAAGGCTACAATTTTATGCCAAACTTTGTTAATATTCGGCTAATGTTGGGGGGGGGACACAATTTTGCAATTGCAACGGAGCAGCAGGGTCCATGTCAGAGAAAGAACATAAACGTTTGATTTGTAACAGTGAAAGAAAAAAATCCTAATCTGCATTACTGATGATGGTTTTCTTGTTTTGTTGACAGGCATTTAAGGAGATGTTGTATGCTGCACAGGACCAAGCTCCATCCATTGAAGGTATTTCACAGACCAACACCAAGACAAACATTGCACAACTAAACAAGGTCACATAATAAATGTAAAGAACATTTAAGAAGCCCCTTTATTTAAAGTCTATTTAGTTAATTTGCAAAAAAAAAAAAGTTACATTTCTTCCAGTGCCTGCCCGTTTTTGGTTCCTTGTAGTAAAAGAAGGCAGTTAGCATGGCATAAGATGGTTATTATACAGCTTTAACTGCATTTTCTTTCTTTACACTCTAAACATGTAATATTGATCAAACTGGCTTCCATTCATCCTTTTTATGTCTTGTAACCAGATTACAGCCAGTTCAGATGGACACAAGTCCAGATTAGAGCAGAAAAATGTTTAAAACAAAAATCATCGTATTGCAGCTGCAAGTGAATATAAAGACTTTTTGAGATTTGTGGGGAAAAACTGCAAGAATATAAAATCGAATATTTTTCACCAGCAGATTTTAACATTTTAGTTAATGTAGGTATTTATAGTGTTTCTCCACA